AAAAAAAAAAAAAAAAATTTTTTTTTTTTTTTTTTTTTTTTTTTTTTTTTTTTTTTTAACAAACAGCTCCATCTATTGGGGGGGAGCATCACCTGCGGGAAATCGGGTCCAGCGACCCTTGAATACATGAATACATGAGTACATGGGTACATGAGATGAATATCGTTGATTTCTGAGAGAACAGGACTGTATTTCCTATGGGCTTCTCTATCACCTGAGAGTGCAAGAGTGTCTCAAGCTATTCCTGACCCGTACAGCACCTCTTCGCCTCCTCTCTCTGCGGCGCCAGATCTTAGTGACCAAACCAGTGCTGTATTTTCTGTGACATGGGGGACGGATGGATGCTGCTGTCATATTTGCTGCGTACCTACTCTCCCTTCTTGGGATGAATCCTTAAACCCCTAAACCCTTGCTCCTCTCCCAAGCATCTGATACCCTTGCAGATCCTTTTCATTTTTCCTTCTTTAACTTCATCCATCTCTCCCGTACCATTCCATTTCCACCAGGCAGTTTGATGTGGGGGGGGAAGAAATCGGGGAATTCTTCGCTGGGTTTCATCGGAATTATAGTTGTATCCATCTAAGTTCACTCATGAAAAAGGAGCCAGTAGTCCCTCGCTAGAGTCCTTCTCCCTTGTTGTCCCTCCCCTGGTTCCTTTTATCCCCCTTTTCATTCCAGTTTCCCTGTCTGCCAACTTCCTTTCAACACAGTTCTTTTGAACTAGGCTGCAAGCCGGTCTTATGGTCTCTTTCGCATAAGCGTTGTGTTTATGAAAGGGCAAATGTCAACATGGACAGTTCAGAAATGGCAGATCTAAATTCTAATAATAATTGACATTTCGTTAAAACTGACATTTTTTTCTAAATTCACGAAAGTGGACTAAGTCAAAATTCCATTGCTCAACGGCTGAGAAAGTGGTTATCTCGCTTTGTCCATCTGATGTACCTCAACGTAAAGTACCGTTAATATACATCCGATGGTCATATCATCGGGAGTCACCACGACACCCGATGATCTGATCATCCGACGTCATGAGGATAAAAAAACACTTCTGGCCAGGTAGGGTGGCCAAAGTGCAATTGCAAACTGTATCTTGCCGCATAGTGCACTTATAGCTCGTGTTTGTGACTCTACTAAAGGCAAAAAACACAGCCTAGCAAAAAAGGAAACACAGGCCTCCAATTTCAGAGATGAAGCTCAGAAGGAACAAACTATAGTCTTCGCTCGAACGCAACACCCCCCCATCGCGAATGTATATCGGACTGGAAATTGGCTGTATACATTCCTGATCATGCTGGCTTATGTCCAGGGGAAGATGGTTGCATTTTTTGACTTGTTGTGCTTTTAATTTCTTTTCTATTTCTGAAACCTCAATGCGAATGGGAGACTTTCAATTTTCTTTTCTAATTCTGAAATCTCAATGAGAATGGGAGAGAAGCATGACACTGCCCTCTCTCTGTGGGTGTGTGTGTGTATACACACACACACACACACACACACACACACACACACACACACACACACACACACACACGCACACACACACATTCTCTCACATCTCTCTCTCTCTCTCTCTCTCTCTCTNACACACACACATTCTCTCACATCTCTCTCTCTCTCTCTCTCTCTCTCTCTCTCTCTCTCTCTCTCTCTCTCTCTCTCTCCATCCACAAATTGTCACGAAACCAATGTTAAAGGGATGCTGGACCCGTTTTCCAGCAGGTGTTGCTTCCCTGGGTCACCAATAGAATGGAGCCATCAGCACCGGTGGTCCTGCTAATGGGAGATGCTCCTATCAACCCCGTTAGAAGGAACCCACCTGCCCTGATGTTCTTCCAAAAAAAAAAAAAAAAAAAAACACGAACCATCCATAAAACAAAAAGAAAACATAGATAGGCAATATAGTAGAAGATGCAAGGCTGGCCACGTTTGTGTGCTTTAACTCAGAATGATGTAGAGCAGCCTGCTGTCTATAAATAGATATATAGATATGCCTATGTATGTATGGCATTCATTGTATGCCCCCAACCCATGCCATTGCTTCTTCAAATTGGTTATAATACCACTTGGGTTCTTCTTCTTCTTCTTCTTCTTTTCTTTTTTTTTTTTTTTTTTTTTTTTTTAATAATACCACTTGGGTTCTTCAAGTTGGAAGAAGGATCCAGTGGCCTAGCTCAGTAGGTAAGGCGCGCAAGTGGCATTCAGGAGGTCTTGGGTTCAATCCCCATTGGCCTCATGTACCTTCCTGGGCATGCTTGGCGCCTGCCACCTAGAGATATTAGGCCGTTGGTCCCCCCAATTGGCATTAAAACGCAGTCTCTGCTGATGTTCATAGGGGGAGGGGTAATCAGGAAGGCACAGCAACTGGCCACTCAGATTATGCTCAGTCAGTCCCTCTGCTACCGGCTGTCCCCTGACCGGCATCCAGATTGGGGGTTCCCTGAAGGCAATAAATAAAGGCCACCCTGGGCGGAAAAGGCCATCGCCCTTTGAAAAAAAAAAAAAAAAAAAAAAGTTGGAAGAAGGATCGCTGAAGCTTCACACTGCTGATAGATCTCCCCTTCACTGGTCGGACAGCACCGCACTTTCTTTTTTTTTTTTYTTTTTTTTTTTTTAAATAAAGCCCAGGTTGTTGTAGAGTTGGGATACTAGACGGATGGCAGTCACCCACAGTACTCAGCCACTCGGTGCACTTTCTTTAAGTAGTGCCCAGAATGCTCCGTTTCCTTTTCTTTTTTTTTCGTATTCTTTTTCTTGTTATTTTCTTATTCTTTTTCTTTTTTTTTTGAAAGAATGCTCCATTCCCTTTCTTCCTTTTTGTTCCACTTGGAAACTCTCTTGCAGTCCAGCGGCCTACCTTCTTCCCCCGAATACAACGTACGGTCATTATAGCTGTATTTGAGCCATCTTTCAGTCTAGATACAGTTATAATGACCGTACGTTGTATTCGGGGGAAGAAGGTAGCTCAGTTGGTAAGGCACGCAAGTGGCATTCAGGAGGTCTTGGGTTCAATCCCCATTGGCCTCATGCACCTTCCTGGGCAAGCTTGGCGCTGCCACCTAGAGATATGCCGTTGGTCCCCCCGAGTGGCATTGAGCAGAGACTGCTGATGTTCATAGGGGGAGGGGACCGGAGGGAAGGCACAGTGACTGGCCCATCGAAGAAGCTGGGTTCTGATGCTACCAGCTGACCCCTGGCCGGTATCGCCCACCTGCTGTAGGAGGTATCGCACCTCCTGGTGGGTGCAGCTCCTGCATGTTCCCTCGTTGGAGGCTTGAGCACGGCTGCTACGGGGTCCCCGGTAATACTATAATGACAATAAAAAGAGGCCTGAACGGCCGTTCTTTTCAGATTCTACAGGTAATTGAATTGGCTGGGCTTAAAGAATTAGCCTTTAAAAAAACAAACTAAAAAAAAAAAAAGAATAAGAGAAAAAAAAGAAAAGGAAATGGAGCATTCTGGGCACTACTTAAACCACCAGTACTTGGGCACTGCGCGCCTAAGGCGTCGCCCAAGTACTGGTGGTTTAAAGAAAGTGCAGTGCTGTCAGAGCAGTGAAGGGGAGATCTATCAGCAGCTTGAAGCTTCAGGGATCCTCCTTCCAACCCTTTTTTTTTTTTTTTTTTTTTAGAGGGCGGGAACATAATGATTCATTGCGAAGTTGCGTATGCATGATAGTCGGTGCAGGCGTTATCGTTGAATGTTCTTAAAA